GGGGGGGGGGGGGGAAGAGGCAGAAAAGCAGAGCTTCCACTTTTGGGTGGAACTCCGCTTTAACTCACATTCATACATAAACATACTAAGGCCAATTTAGACAGGAGCCAATAACCTATTGGAGTGTCAGAGGAAACCCATGCAGGCACAGGGGTAACATGCAAACTCCAGGCAAGTAGTGCCATCATTGGGCTTTGAACCAATGACCCTAATTCTGGGAGTGCTAACCACCAAGCCACTGTGCTGCCCCTAAATCTATAAAACACGATCTATAAATGGAAGAGGAGTGGAAGGGTGAAAGGTCTCCCCCTCCATTCATAGATCACATTTCATTCATAAAAACTGTAGTACCGGATTCTATTTTCACAAAATAACAGCTGTAGAATAAAAGAGAAGATACGACCAGTGGATTTAAGGCAAAACTAACATTTCTTCTTCAGACCCTTACTGTACAAGGCATATTAGTATGTGAAGCAAACCACCTCACCAGCCATGGAATGCTCTGGGGATTTACATGCGCTCTGTTCATTCCGTGTTAGGCCTCCCTTGGGAGCATTGTAGACAGTATAGTAAAACAAGAATTCTATTTCTGCTTTGGCCTCCATATACATCCTATTGATTCGTGGAATTATGCTTGTCATGAACTCAACTACATGCCAAAATTGTGTACTTAGACTGCTATTTACACTGCCCTTCCCAGACTCAAGATCTACGATGGCTCCATCATTCCTCTGACTGACAGGTGTTAATGCTGTGCTTTCCTTTCTGATGATTGACAGATCCTGACTGGCTCACCCAGCACAGGATGTACTTGTAAAACATGTCTGATCATGTGGTTCATGCGCCGCCATTCACTTGCTTCTGTCAGCCAAGCCAGGAGTGCTTTGTGTGAGACATTTGTTTAATGAAAGCATAAGCTAATGAAGCCAGAGTACGTGTGAACTAGCCTAATTACTGGCTGAATGTTCTAAGTAAGACCTATACAGACTTGTTACTCAGGGAAGTACAAATAAAAGTCTGAATCATACAAAATAAATGACAACACCACAAGGAATGAAGTAAGAAGAAAAACACTGTCTCTGATTTCATTCTTCTAGACTGTTAACAATGGATTATACTTACTATATATGTCAGATGTATGCAGCAGCGCATCCGTGGGTCACATAAAGTTCATAAATAGGTTGAAAAAAGACAGCTTTTTCTACCACTAAGGACCCATGCACATTGGGCGTTTAGCCCCGTTGGATGTGGCTCCAGTGTTTAGCTCCTGGAAGAGGAGACAGGTGTCCTTCCAGCACCACTCTTGGCAGCCCCTCAAACTCTATGGCTGCTTTCACACTTGAGTGTTTTGTAGCTTGAAGCTCCAAAAATGCTCAAACTTAAAAAATCAATTGTTCTCTATGGTGCCTGTTCCTGAGATCAGGTGTGAACAGGCACCATAGAGAACAATTAATTTTTTTTTTTAGGTTTGAGCTTTTTTAGAGCTTCAAGCTACAAAATGCTCAGGTGTGAATGCAGCCTAAGGCTGGCCATACATTATACAATTTTCTTGAGAATTTTGCTTTAGATTTACCAAAAACCATAGAATATGAGGTCATGTATCCAATTAGGCAAGCCCTTGCACTACATAGTTGAAGAAAAGACAGAAAAGGGGAAGAAAAGGGAAAGACGTGCAGATGGACTTTAGAGGCACAGAAACTATAAGCACATATTAGTAAAATCACTTGTACTTTATTTTGACAATAAATCATGAAAAAACATCTTTGAGTTTAAAAAAATCATTGTACAATGTCCCCACAATGTCCCACAGCCCACCATATTAAATGGAACAAAACTATATAAAGATAAAGCGTACAGTAACCACCAGGAAGGTCCTATGGGGGGGGGGGGGAGGGACATTAAGCCGCTGGAAGAATGACCCAACATGTTTTGCAACAGCAATCGCTTCTTCAGGGACTTAGTAGTAAAATCTAGAAAAGATATACATATGCTGAATATACCAAATTACATCATGTAAACACAGAAAGGGTCATAGATGAAGGTAAATCTAAAAGAAATTGGACAGAAAATTGTATAGTGTATGGCCAGCTGGTGCAGCTGGATGGGGCTGGGTGGTGCATTTAGGACATTATGCGCCCAGGGAAGCAGACCTTTCACATCCTGAGCATTTGTCCCTGGATCAATACTGCGCTAAATATTCATTGTGCTAGGTGCAACCCCCAGCTTGACAGGCTGCCAGAAGCAGGGCACCTGTGTCTTTCACCTGCAGCTAAACACAGGAGCCCTTTGCACTGGGGTAAATGTCCATTGTGCATGGGGCCTCCAAACACACCTTGGCAGAGGTGTAGCTAAACTCCTCTGGGCTCTGTTGGAGACATTCCCCCAATTCCTGTCCTGGTGGCCACACAGGAAGTGAAGAGAGATCCCCCCAGTTAGGTCACAAATTGCTGTAAAAACTCAATATTAAATCACTATAAAAACCTAATATATAAAATAAAAATTTTTTGGGCAGAGCTGGGCTTTGACAGAAGTCCTACATGACATTTGAGATACTTTAGAAATAAACAATTCCTATTCCAATTTAAAAATTTGGAGAGTAAGAAGGTTTTGGAGGTTTATAAAACTCCAGCCAGGGGCGGACTGACCATTTGGAAACTCAGGCACCGCCCGAGGGCCTGGGATCAGTAGGGGGCCCCATGAGATGCCCCTGGTACCTTTTTCATAGGCTTTTTTGAGTTTGGGCAAGGACACAGGGACCCCTATTGCCCTGGGGCCCCATGAATTGTCAGTCCACCCCTGGCTCCAGCCTAAACTTTTTTTATTAGATTTGGCGTACAAAATGGTTAAAAATGATGTTAGATTTATTTTATTGTTTTTGTAGCAGTGGTCACTGAGAAAGCAAATGAGCAAAGATCTCTCCAAAAGGAGCTCTGATGGGAATAAAACAGAAGTGAAGTTAGGAAGAGTTAGAACTGTTTTTAGGCTAGGTTCACACTTGCGGGCGGGAATCACAGCTGTAAATCACACACAGCCAAATAGTGCTTCTCTTGCGAGATTTTGAATGGCACCCCCACGCATCTCAGCCGCAGTGCGTTTGCAGGTGTGCAGGGAAACCACATGGTCAAAAAGACCATGCAGTTTCCTTGCAGTTGAGTTTTTAGAAAGGTGCCTTTTTTCTGCAGGACTGCAGCGCAGCAGTCCATTGAAATGAATGGGCTGAGTGCCCAAGAAAACGCAGGCCACACAACCCACAAATAGCGTGAACTGAGCCTTAATTCTGCCTGCATTGCCCCTGGAGAGATCCCACTGGCTGTGTAGACACCACAAATGGAAGATGAAAATTTCTCAACCGCTGGCAATAAAGACTTGACAGACTCTATAAAACCTTCCCTCTAAAACCAAAAAGGAAATTATGAGCTGATGGCGTTGGCCTTTATAGTGGACCTTCACCCTCTTCACCCACTTTCCATCATTATACTCCTACCCCCCTCCTCTGTTACAATCAAACATTTTTTTTGAGCACCTTTTTTGGGGAAACCCTCCCCGCATTATCTGCATACGCGCCCAGATGACAATGAAACTTTGTTGCCTGTAACCTCCAGGGATACCCACATTGTACATCCCAGGAGGCCTCAAGGATCCACCGCACCACTGCTACACACACACACACACACACACAACCTCAGGCCACCATCTTCTTCTCTGATGTCATCAGGCAGCCGGAGCCGTCTGTTTCTGGATCTCACAGCCTGTGTCTTCAGGAGTCAGACAGCAAGAACCTGGAAGAGACAACTGGCTCCTGGTGATGCCAGAGAAGATGGTAGCCTGAGGTTGGGGGTGCAGCAGCAAAGTGATAGCCACTAGATTCATTGGGCATGTGAGTATGCTTTTTGGGATAACTCAGGAAAAAAAGTAAGGGGGTGAAATTCCTCTTTAATGAAGGCCTAATACTATGTAGGAATACAACTGCTGGAGAAGGTTCAGTTATTTCACACTTCAGTGTACTGTGTTCAGTGATTGCTTTATGGGTCTAGGAATAGAACATGGTGACAGGGTGACACACCGCGTAAGTAATTGTGACTCATATTATTTTTAGTTCCCATCCCTGACATGAATGTACACAGCAGTGATCCAGCCAATGATGGGCACCCATCTGTTGACCTACATACTGTATCTTTTTCAGAAAACAATACAACACGAGTCAGGTTTCAACTGAGCTTTGTAGGAACAGAAGCTTCCGCCTGAGAATGTTGGCTGCCGGGCAGTGCAGCTAACATGTTTGCAAACAGTAGAAGAAGAAACAGGAGCAAGCATGTTAATCCATGATTACAACATCAGCTCTTTCAATCATTCAACCTGTGTTCCAAAAAAACAAAACCAAAAAAAAACAAAAAAAAAACATACCTCTAATCACAGAAACAGCTTTGAGGAATCACCTACTGTTTACTAAGGACCTGTTAGAGACTCCTTAACCTCCCTAGCAGTTTGATTATGTCCATATTTCTGTGCTCAAAGCGGTACTTTTTTGCATGAAAATATGTATTTTTTTTATTGTAGGCATGTAATTTTTAGGAATAACTTACTGAAATCTGTCCGAACAAGAGTCTAGTAAATGTCCCGGGTATGTTAAAATTTGAAACACGAAACACATAAATTATAATTTAATAAATAATCATAAAAAAATAATAATATAATAATAATAAATTTAATTCAATAATATAATCAAACCAAAAACACTGAAATTTAAATATAGCGCCAAGTTCGCACATCTCTGAGCAAAGTCGCAAAATCGGTTTCAGTGTCTGATGACGAATTTCCCCACGAATCATTATCACTCAATTCTGCAAGTGTTCTAATTTACTATCGCTGTTCTATTGTTGGTCTAAAACCGATTTTGACCTAAAGGGATGCTTTTTGGACACCATGGACGTTTCTCAGTTTCCAGGCAGAAAGAACGGTAAAAATGCAGGCAGGGCACAGGACAAAGCAGTAGGGACAAAATGTATGTGAAATGGTTTGATACAGTAATGTTTTACTATGTGATTTTAGTGAATTTAGTGAATGTCACTTTTTGTCATTTTCAAATTTCCCGCCGTTCTGTCCCCCGTACATCCTGATGTCGCAGGGGACAGAATCCAGAAGACAGATGCCGGCATCCGCCGGGGGACGTTACAGGGGACACTGCAGGAGGGACATTGCGGGAGCGCAGGACAAGGTAAGAGAAGAACAGATCCCGGAGCAGCGCCGCATGGTAAGCCCGAGTGTAGCTCGGGGTTACCGCTTGTGGTACTGAAACTTTACCCCGAGCTACACTCGGGAATACCGCCAGGGAGGTTAATGTGATACTGAAGGCTTGGATTTTTTAAAAGTTAAATGCACAAACATGTTATATAATCTTACCTGTTCCGTGCAGTCATGTGGGGTTTTTTGCCTTATTTGACTTGATTTGCCTTGCAATGCTTTGCATTTGTGCGCATTTGAATGTGTTGCATTATGCTGAAAAAAAGTAGTGCATGTTGTACTTTTTTTAGCGCTTGGAAAACGCAACACAACACACTGTTGTGAACTGCATTCAAAGGGAACCATCATTTTGTGGTTGCCATACGCTGGGAATGTTCTCACAAATGCGCCACAACGTGTCTGGTATGAATGAACCCTTAATGCTGCAGTTCAGCTTTCAGCAGTATTTCATAGTTAATAAATTCAACAACATGTAAAATGTTACGGTTTAATCCTGAACATAAAAAAATTGTATATATAATATTTATCTTGGACTCATCTCTGTGAGTTATAGAGTGAAGAATTTTATTGAAAATATATTTATTAATTCCCAAATAATTGTTATGAAAGAATGGCTTTACAGACTCTTTGTGAAGTAATACTGAGTCAGCTAATTGTATATCTAATAAATGTCTTTTCTAGAAGCTTTGCCCACTAAAGAATTGTAAAATATACTCATCATACTTCCTCTGCGCAATTCCCTAATAGAAAATATGCCTAGGGCGTGTGCAATGGCAATTCAAAGCCACTATTAATTATTACTGAATAAAATTCCATGCCTCCAAATTCAGTACCGAGATTTAACGCGTCATCCTTGTATAATGGAGTCAGACATTGGAGCTTAGCTCATTTAGGTCAAATGTATGCAACATCTTCCTGTGATAATGAAATGATAAATGTGTAACATCCTTTCCGGGCTATCAATCATTGGAGGACAAAGTTTACATGGACACTAAAAGGGGGTGCTTGGCAGGTGTTTTCAAGACCATCAACTACAAGTCTGAAAAGGGTATATTAAAGGTATATATATAGGCAAAACATTTATTTTTTTTTAATTTTGAATAGAGTAAGGGAGGGTTATACCCGTCAGTTTTTTTGTAATCTATGTCCCACTGGGATGATTTACCTTCACTTCCTGTTCCATAGCCGAAACAGGAAGTGAGAGGAAATGCCTGCAAAGTATGGGAATCCGTAGGGGATCTCTTACCTCAATACTTCTACACCCATCCTCTTTTACCCCAATACTTCTAAACCCAGCCTCTCACTCCAAAACCTTTAGACTAGGGGTGTCCAAACTATGGCCCTCCAGGTGTTGAGGAACCGCAAGTCCCATGAGGCCTTGCAATACTCTGACATCCACAGGCAAGACTCCCAGAGGCAGAGGCATGATGGGATTTGTAGTACTTCAACAGCTGGAGGGTCATAGTTTGGACACCCCTGCTCTAGACTCATACTCTCTTATTCCAATAACACTAGACCCAACCTCTTTTATCCCAATACCTATAGTCCCAACCCCTTGCCCCAATATATCTAGACCCATTCTCTCTTACTTCTATACCTTTAGACCTATCTTACCCCTATACCTCTAGGCCCATCCTCTCTTACTGCTATACCTCTAGACCCATCCTCTCTTACCCCTATACCTCTAGACCCATCCACTATTACCCCTATACCTCTAGACCTATCCTCTCTTACCCCTATACCTCTAGACCCATCCTCTCTTACCCCTATACCTCTAGACCCATCCACTATTACCCCTATACCTCTAGACCTATCCTCTCTTACCCCTATACCTCTAGACCCATCCACTATTACCCCTATACCTCTAGACCCATCCACTATTACCCCTATACCCATCCACTCTTACCTCTATAACAATTCTCTCTTACTCCAAAACCTTCAGACCATATGTGTCGAACACAAGGCCTGTGGGCCAAATCTGGTCCACCAGGCCATTTCATGTAACCCTTGCACCTCTCCTGCAGCTGTGGCACCCCCCTTGTCCCTGCCCTCACCTTATCTCAGCAGTCATCAACAGAGAGAAGGACAGAACTCCTCCGCCAGATCCTGCACCTCTCTGTGCAGCCTTGAAGAGGATAGTCTCTGCCCCCCCTCATCCCAGCAGTTGGGCAGCAAAAAGGAACACATAACTCCTCCTAGATATCCCATGCCCCTCTGTACAGACAAAGTGACGCCTCATCCTCCCCCCCCCCCCTTTCCCCTGGTCTCAGCATTCAGTGGATTCCAGCCCGCCTTTGGTCCTCCTCCAGATCCTGCACTTTATACTGTCCAGCTCTGTCCCCAGCTTCTTCCCAGCATCAGCACAAGGTAAGGGGGGTGCACTATAGTGTAATGGAGGGTGAAGGACTCTATACTTCTGATGGTGATGGTGGTGGTGGTGTGGTGGTGGTGGGGGTTCTTGACATCTGAAGGGACCCCCTTCTGGATTCTATGCCAGGTGAAAAGGAGGGTCACACATCAATTGTATCATCCACAAGAAACTTTACTGGAAACTGCTCAGACAGAACACCATGGCTGAACAATGGCAGTCTTTTGTGGATGATACCAGGGGTGTGTGATTATTCTTTTCAGGCTTTCATCATCTGTTACAGGACTGTGAATGGGCCCTGTGGTGGCTTCACAGCTTAAGTTTTAAGTTATTGGTAAAGCCAGTAATAATTGAAAGCAGAGGCAATTATTTAATATGTACAGAGTAGATACAGTTATACAGTCTTACAAATACAACTGGTACTTTGAGGGCAACAATAATGCTAATGCGGCCCCCGATGAAATTGAGTTTGACACCCCTGCTTTAGATTTATCCTCTCTTACTCTCTATACCTTTAGACCCATCCTCTTTACCTCCAATACCTCTAGAACCATTTTCTCCTACCTCAACACCTATAGACCCATTCTCCATTACTCCAATACCTCTCTTATCCAAATATTTCTAGACCCATCCTTTCCTACCCCAATACCTCTAAACCCATCCTCTTACCCCAATACCTCTAGACCTAACCTCTCTCACGCCAATAGCTCTACACTCATTCTCTCTTACCAACACCTCTAGACCCATCCTCTCTTACTCCAATGACTCTAGACCCAAATATCCTATCTCACCCCAATATCGCTAGACCCATCCTCCCTTACCCCAATATCGCTAGACCCATCCTCCCTTACCCCAATATCGCTAGACCCATCCTCCCTTACCCCAATATCGCTAGACCCATCCTCCCTTACCCCAATATCGCTAGACCCATCCTCCTTTACCCCAATATCGCTAGACCCATCCTCCTTTACCCCAATATCGCTAGACCCATCCTCCTTTACCCCAATATCTCTAGACCCATCCTCCCTTACCCCAATATCTCTAGACCCATCCTCCCTTACCCCAATATCTCTAGACCCATCCTCCCTTACCCCAATATCTCTAGACCCATCCTCCCTTACCCCAATATCTCTAGACCCATCCACCCTTACCCCAATATCTCTAGACCCAACCTCTCTAACCCTAGTAGCAACAAAACTTACTCTGTTCTTGCTTAAATAAACTGGCAACTGTGGCAAAATTTCAACATTTATCAGGTCAATTCAAACAAGTTCCCAAGTATGAAAATCAGACTTCTTCCAGTCAGATTTTAGCATTCATATTAAGGAACCAGGATGATATTTTACAGTAAAGGTATTTGCCTGGCAATGATAAGGATATTTAACTATGGCCTGGACAGGTCAACAGGAAATCTTACTTCCTTGTTTTATTTACAGTAATGAATAAAATCTATTATCCTTGCCAAATAAAACGTAGAGTAAGCAGAGGCCATAGGGTATGAGATCATTGTTTCCCGTGGATTTAGGCAATCTCTGGGTGTGTTAAGGCAGCTCAGGAGATGTTTTGAACATTTTCTTTGACCTCAATAAACACGAGACTGAGGTGAGGCAATATTTGCTTAGGAGCTAAAGCCAGGAATCACAGCAAACACACATATACATAGTACACAGCTATATACACACTCTTAACACATCAAATAACTGACGAGATTACCTGTTACTTTCCCAGCATGGCTGTGAAGGTCAATGATAAATGACCTAATTTCCAGAGACATAAGTTACATTTTGCAGTTCATTTTTTTATAGATCTCTACAACCATGGGGTTCATTCACACAGTCATTCCTAGACATGCACCTCCCAGATCAGTGTATTTCTATGGTGGGCATAGCCAGGTGTTTCCAATTAGCTGCATCCGCTCAGCTTGTACAAATCAATGACAGGCTGAGAAGTTCCACAGCTGTTCACATGTGATTGCACATGGAGAGATTAAGGTGTACTTTTATCAAGCAGTGGTACATGATTGCTGATATGTTCTCTGGCATTCTCAAAGGAGACAGCTCCCCTCTGAGTGCCTGTTTATGAAGCAGTGTAGATCACTTCTGATGAGGAAAGAAGCGATCTATACATTTTTTGAACTCTGGAAAAGGGCTATTGGTGCTGTAATCTCACAAGATATAGCGAGGTTACAATAACAAGAGATCAGTAAAACACACAGCTGTCAGTTTATTATGCGGTGGTAAATTACCTCTGCTGAGGTGGCGGCTATCCTCAGTACACACATTCACAATAATAGAAATGTGTGTGTATGTATGTGTGTATGTATATATATATATATATATATATATATACACACATATTAAGAAAAAAATAAATACAAACACATACATACATACATATATATATATATATACGTGTGTGTGTGTGTATGTTTGTGTGTATACTGTGTGTATATATATATTTATTTTTTTCTTAATATGTATATATATATATATATATATATATATATATATATATGTAAACTGCTCTAGGGTTTTGGGTTCTTGTGAAAGGCAGGGGAATTTCCCACTGTCTTGGAGGCTCTGAAGGGAGAAGAAAGTCCAAAAACTTCCTCCTTCCTCCTCAGAGCTCCAGCGACTCTTCCTTCTCTCCCCAAATCTCCACCTCTGGGCTGGAGAATCTGGGAGGGAGAATTTTCACACAGATCGCCAGTAAAGGGCTGACATTGCTC